CCCCAAAGCAACCCTGAACATCTTAAACAAATAAACCCGAAAGAAATGCTAAAGTGCCTAAACCCTCAATAACAACTTTGGGCGAACATCTGCCCCGGGAGAAGATGATACTCAACACATTAAGAACAATAAGGCAAAATTGTTCGGAGTGATTTTTCATGATTTTCCGTAGTTTTTCAAAACAAAATTACTCAAAGACTTCGGAGGGCAATTTGCCCACCTCGGTGGCGGAGCAGGTTGCCTGAGACATGATGCTACGAGCTTGCAGACCATGCGTTGAATCAGCTCGAAACATGCTTGAGATAAAATGTTCATATGACATTCTAAATACATTCAAAAAGATTCAATAAACCATAATTAGCCATGATATGCCATGATGAACCAAGTGGATCGATCCAAATGGTTAATGTCTATGCAACTCATTGGATGACATTGCAGGTCAAATTCACATTTCTGTGCCTGCTTGCTCCCGGGGCTGATGCAGCGCTTCCTCGCCTTTGAAACACATGCAATGGATTAACGATGAAAACTTCACCTGGATCTCCAAAACAAGCGCTATCTTGCAGAATCCACATACATTGAAATAGCATCGGAATGCATCGTCAAATATCCCTAACCTTCAAAGCAAAATGAGGCACACACGCTGGAGGGCGCGGCGGTCTCTCTGAATGACTAGGCTTGTCATCCTCTCATCGCGCATAAGCCGCATAAGCATATTGTTCACACATTGTTTCTCCTCAACGTTTTCTCTTCCAAGCTACAGTTTGTCTTTGATCAATTTTATTTCTCTGGACCAACAAATGCAAACACATATAGACAACACCTGCCTGAGCAAGGTCTTTCTTTTTCGAAATGTGCAAAGGCCTGTAAGGAGACAGGGAAGTACCAGGGAGTCATGGAAGCACACTATCCATTTCCTCATTTCCCCTGAAACGAATCCTGCCAACCCCACTGTAAGACTTGGGTGCAGACTTGAACACGTCTCGCACTCGGCTCTCGATTGTGAGCAGCTGCCTAGGAAGAAACTTGACAAACCACTTCAAATTTGAAGCCAAGGTGGGACGCATGGCTGCAGTGAAAAAAAAACACATTGGAGAGAACCTGCGTGATGTGGGGTCGGTGGTGCAAGCTTTGATCTTACTCATGTCTTCCCGAGTCTTCCCTAGCTAAGCTTTGACACTCAGCAGCACTGAACAGCTCGACCAGCATGACCGTTTGTCATGTTTGGCATCAATATGCATCATGAACTGATTGCGTAGATTGTCCACGCGCGCACACACACACATTGTGCGCGTTTCTCTGCACAAACTGAGATTTCTGAGCCCTCAACTCTCGGAGTTTGGAAGCTCCTTCTGGTGGTGGCCAGGCACGCTCAAAGTCCTGCATGTGTTTGGCCCAAAACAGGTTAGAAGTGTACACACGTCTTGACAAGCTGCGGCTGACTCTGTGTTGCTGACTGGACCCAGCACCAAACGCAAGTCTCATGAGTTCTCATGCCAGCGCGTGTGTTTCAGGAAAGCCTTCCAAGTCCGCAATCCATTTTCGCCCAAAAGATTTCCAGAAAGTGCTGTGGAACCATGTTGCACCGACTGGAGAAATAATTAGAACATATTAGAACTTTCATGTAAACACAGAAGACGAAGACATGCCAATTGAGACATGCTCCTGCTTGGCCACAGTGTGGCATGAGACGAGCTGGAAAACAGATGCAATTGCCACATGTCTCTAAAACGACACCATCCTGCTTCAACCAGGAAAGGTCTGTAGTTTTTTTTTAGCAAAACAACTCCACAAACTTCGCACGCTCAATTCATTCTTAATCATTCGTGATGGATTGATCACTTCAAAGCTAAAAACTACGAGCATGAACCTTTCCAGGAGCAATACCGTAGAATCAAAAGTTGTTCAAATGAGAGCGGCAAGAAACCTGCAATGATTGCTAAACACCGCTCCCAAGTGTGACTACATCCGCGTCTGCAAATTTCGAGGATTCATCTGAATTTCATCTGACTCATCCAGAACCAACTTCAGAAAGCAATCCCTGCCTACTGGGCACGGCCCACTAGGCAAAGGGTCTGGCCCAAGATCTTCAGACGGGAACAAAATTCAACCAATCCACCGCCCAAGACGTTTTGGCTAATGATGGAACCGTCGTTTGAAGGCTGCTCACTTCAGCGGAAGTGAGATAGAGCTCGCGCGCTCCAGAAAAGGGCTCGCAGCTGCATGTTCGGACTCAGATCACAGGTCGGAATAGTCAGAATATGAATGAGAAAACCAACTGCTTAAGATGCTATAAGATGCTATAAGATGCTATAAGTACCCGAGAGAATCCAGGACAGTGTCTCAGTACTCAGTCTATCCACGTCTGATCGATTCTGATCGATTCTGATCGTCTATCCATGTCATTCCTAATTCTAATTGTCATTCCATGTCTATCCTAATCATTTCATTTTGATCTAATTTGGCACCGTGGTCCGAGGTCCGAGCCAATTCATCCAGGATTGTGTTCAACGTCGCCAAGGATTGAGCTGCTACCTTCACCTGTCCCATGATTTGTCAAGACATGTCAAGGCGGAGACAACTTGAAACAGTTTCGAGAACAGTTTCTATCACATTTCCAATTTGATCAATTTGATCAATTTGCAACACTCCAATGATTTTTCTTAGAATTTTCTATCATATATATGCAATTCTGTGCACATCACTGCATGTCTCTCATCTTGCATGTCTCTCATCTTCATTTCCCAATCTATCCCAACCTTCCACAACTTTCCCAACGGGTTCAACATGGTTCAACGTTCCCCCAACGTTCCCCAACGTTCCCCCATGGTCCATATGGTCCCACCACGTCCCACCTGCCGCAGGTCACAGCCCGGTCTACATCTCGAGTTCAATGTCTCCAGGTGCCTCTTCAGCCTGCGCCCCACTCCCCGATGGCGTTTCAACGGTGGGCAGGAGATTACAGGGAGACGTAAGCAAAGTTTCAAACTCTGAAATCATAGTGTGATTGGTGAGGAGTTTATAAGTAATAAAGATCAAATAAGATCTTCCTAAATATCGGCTGAGAGCAGAAAATCAAGGCTTCAACATGTTTGAAATAGGTTTCGTCAGGTTTCGTCTCATGCCGGCTGCGGGCCCCTTCAATTGTTGCAGGTAGGAAAAGCGCGTCGCGATGGTCTTTGTGACGCGACTGGCAGCTGGCCTTACAGTCAAATGATCTGCAATTCATTTTATGACACTCATGAATGGACTTGAAGTAGAGCTGTCTCGGAGGCTATGAAATGTACAAGTCAACCAAAGAATCTCCCTCACAACGAATTTTCAAAGTGTCAGTCTCAGCTACAAGATATGCAAGTTCCAGCTGTATGACTTGTGCAGCTAACAAAGACACAAATGCAACAAAGGCCGTGGCAGGAAAAGAACTTCGGACAGATAATATTAATGGATTATAAAATTATAACTATAAATATGATTTATATGTTCAAATGACAGAAACCGCTGCTTCTTTCTTTTGAGAATCGAGCCCAGACAATTGAATGGGACCGGGATTCTCGTAAAGCTCCTCCAAGACGGGGTTGAGCGCAAATGTTGAGCTTGAAGATTTTGTAGACTTCCAGATACTTGTATCAGGTCAAAAAATTGAGACGGTGAACATTCGTGAACTTTCCATGTGAGATAGGTCACTTTCGCGCAAGACTCTGCCCAAAACTTTGCCTGGCCAGCACAGGAGTCTCGAACCTGAAGCAAAATATGCAAAATCACTTAAGCCATCTTGTGGATTCTTGTCGTATCTTCAATCATGATTGCGGTGATCGTTCTAGTGCCTTCTGGCAAAGATCTTACTTGGGTTTTGCTTGCTGAGCTCTTCCAGAAGTTCCAGAGAATGGAGACGCTCGCATTGCCAAAAGAATCCAAAAGAGAAGATTCGATGGAAAAATATGGGCATACATAGATACATATAGCAAGATGTGGAAAGGGTTGCAATTGGATGCAATTGGTAGGTCAACCGATGTCTTCTGAGGGGCCTCCTTCCACTTCTTGAACGCGCCGGCATCGAGGTCAACCTGTGCCAGCTCTGCACGATGGAACTGATTAAAACTACTCAACACTTCAAGAAAGCAACCGTTAAAGATGTTAAAGAAATGACAGAAAACACAAGACATCTAGGAAGAACATGGAAGAACTACTGTACTGCAAAAAACAGCTACTAAAACAATCTAATCGTATAGCAAACTACATTGTCATCACTGGTCGTCCGTACAGACTCATTCTGATAACAGTGTGTCAGCACATATCCATCACATCAAACTTGTGTGAGTGGGAGGGGAGTTCTCAACAAATGTTCAATATGTCTTTCCTTCAAAATTCAGGGCGGCTCCCACTCAAACGTTTGTAAGGCAAGCACCATCATGCCGTCAAATTTGCTGGCCGCCACTATTCCAAAGGAATGAATCACAAGATCAGAACTTCACTTTGTTCAAAGCTGCTGTTCCTCCTGGCCAGCCCTTTTCCTTGACCGTCTGGATTATCTGGAACTGCTTTCTCTTTTAGAGAAACAACTCCGCTTTGCGGACAAACTATGAGTTTCACACTTGCCATTCGGCAAGACATGCCTACCCATTTGCAGCGGTCTCCGATCTCTGTTGCATGGTTTGCGAAGGTAAACGAAGAAAACGAAGAGAATGCTTTGAGCAGCTTACCACATACTTTTGATTGTACGAGTTGCAACATCTTCAGAAGCGCTCAGAAGCTCCATCATGCTCAATCTATGAAAAACCGGTTGGCAAACGATTCGAGCATGTTTAATTCAAAAGTAATCGCAGCAAAAGATTTGAGCAGCGTCGAGGCCCGACAAGTCATGGTTCAACTCAACCAAAAATTGTTGGGCACTCCAAATAGTTCTGTGTGCGCACTTGTGCCGGTTGACGCTGCTCAAACCCACTCACATTTTTGACTTGATCCATCTCGATCATTCCTCACCTTTCTCTTTCCTCGTCAATTCATCGTCCCTTTGGTCTTTTTGAAGGCCATGAGGCGGAGGTCCCTCGGGTAACCCTGCCGCCTGACGATGATGTTGAAGTGACATTGCCTTTCCAAGTATCCGTATCAGGTGCAATCCTCCGCGCACTGCGCACTGCCTCGCAACATATCGTGGAGAAGGCTCCGACACGCTGCGACATGCTGTGACATTGTGGATTTGTGGGGACAAGGGAGCGCTCAGAAGCGCTCAAGTGTTCCAAGTAGTTCTTTTTCTGTCTTTTAGCCGATTTTAGCCCAGACACAGCCCTGAAGTTGAAGGCACCAATAGTCAAGGATGTCGACTCAGTTCCTCGTCCAGCTGCACGCTTTTCTATCTCTCGTTGATGCTTGAGGAACCTCGAAGGCTTGAGAAACAACCTACTGGTACAGAAAACACAGGGAAAAAAGAGTGGTGGATATCGAAGTTTCACAGCCTTGACACGGAAGATCTCAGCAACAGTTGATTCATTGCACCAACAATTTTGCTTCACTGCTTCACCTTTAGTATCCTTTCCGTTGCAAACCATAGCTGATGTCTCAATGTGGCAGGAACATGAGCGCAGGCACAACACAGGCATTACCACATGCAAGACAAAGACAAAATGCTGGGATCGCCGTGAATGCTGTGACTGCTCTTGGAACATCCTAAAGGTCCAAAATATATCAAAATCCGCCCACACCGCTTTGGCGGTGAAGGCGTGCTTATTGGGGGGCAAAACAGCAACACTAAATGCTCAATGACATTTGTTAATATAGCAGTCGCTATATCAGCTTTAGCTGGGGGGGGCAAAAACGGTTTCGCACCGAGACCCGAATACGGTGGTGTTTTCGACATTTTTTGAGGATTTTTGGGTGTCTGAGCGCAAGAGGGTATTGAAATGGAATTTTGGGTCATTTTGGTAGCTTTCTGGCAATGGAAAAACGGCCAAAAATGAAAAAAACATTGTACATAGCAAGATTTTGCAGGGTTTTTGGATGCCAGAGCATTGAAAACACTGCAAAAACAAAGGTTTTGGACTGACGTTATAGCAAACAACGTGTAAATTACCGTATGCTTGACTGGAAACATTACAAAAACACTGTCAAAAGCAATGTTTTGGAAGGATTTACTGCCTTTATGGCAAAAAACGTGTAAATTACCGTCTGTTTGACTGGAAACATTGGAAAAACACTGTCAAAAACAATGTTTTGGAAGGATTTCTTATATATATGTTGGAGTTGGCTACCGGCATTGGAACATGGAAAAATTGAAGAAAACACTGTAAATAGCGGTATTTTCAACGGTTGGGGAGATAAGGGAATTGGAAGCATTGTCGAACATGATGTTTTCGACCGGTTTTATGGCGACAAAAGTGTAAAGTACCGTGCTTTGAAGGAAACCATTGCAAAAACATGGAAACACATTCAAAGAACACGGGATTTGGGGGACTATCTAGGCGTCGTTGTCTAGCTATTTGAAATTCCGCAGCTTGGAGAGCCTCCAAGGGAGGGAAAAGTGAAAATTCCATAGCTTGGGAAGCTGTCACGGCGGGGAAAAGTGAAAATTCCCTAGCTTGGGAAGCCCCCACGGGGGGGAAAAGTGAAAATTCCCTAGCTTGGGGAGCCCCCACGGGGGGGAAAAGTGAAAATTCCCTAGCTTGGGGAGCCCCCACGGGGGGGAAAAGTGAAAATTCCCTAGCTTGGGGAGCCCCCACGGGGGGGAAAAGTGAAAATTCCCTAGCTTGGGGAGCCCCCACGGGGGGGGGAAAGTGAAAATTCTTAGCTTGGGGAGCCCCCACGGGGGAAAACCACCCTTAGCCCCTCTCACGGACCGAACTAAACCTGCGGTGTGGGCGGCCACCCCACGCGAAGCGGGGTGAATATATTGATTTGCTGCGAAAGGTTGAAACAATGCGCTGCAGCTCAGCGACTCCTCGTAAAAGCCTTCTCTCAATGTGCTCTCAATTTTCCCATCTCCGTGTCCTGGCGGCTCTTCAGACAGAATGACAGAATGCAAATGTAAACCAGAGTATATGAACAGACTTGTATGTTTGGGAGTGATATAATTATGCCTACCCCAAATGGACTGATAGCACATACTTGTACGGAAATGTGCCTTTACTTGTATTATCTGCTGTATAGATATATAATGATATATAGATGTATGTAGACATGATATAAATGGCATTAAATAGCGTCTTTTATAGGACAACCTAATCAACCAGTGCCAGCCTTCTCGCAATTCGTCATGGATCTCGCTCTGCGCAACTTGTAGCCTCAGTTTTTGTTTCCTCCCCCGCATCTCACAGGAAGAGGAGGCAAGACCTTTCACTCAATGCACACCCTGCAATTGCAACACAATTGCAACAATATACCAACGTAGGATCCAAGAAACCGTGTGATGTTCGATAAGATTTGCTGCATTCCAACTGAGAGTTTTTGCACTTCTCTCCTTGACTCACTGCACGGTGGCAAAACATGGCAAGACAACAAAGACACAAGAACACTTTGCATCAACGCATACTTGAGTTACTTGAGCTGTGGACCTTGACACATACTTTTTGGCAAGCTTCTGAAGCAATGCTGTCTCCAGAGTGAGAGTCTGCACATCTGTTCGAGAGACGGCACCCTTCATCTGAACGATATGTGCGACAAACTCATCGATCGACAGCTCATCTTGCTGCGTAACGGATGCAAGCGTTTTGAAATAGTGCTCTGGCATCCGGATGTCTATGCCCAGAGTCCTGAAAGCATGTTCAAACCTGTCATTTTTCATTGCCCGGACCAACTGGGTGACAGAAAGGAATCCAGAGTTCTCGGTGTCCGCGACTTGCAAGATGGCTGTCACCTCTTCGGCGCTGTGAAGTCCGTATATCTCATTCCATGGTTTTACAAGTGTCTGGAACAATCAGTCTTCGAATGTCTTGGATAATTTGGATAGTTGATGGGATGACGATAGCTGTGCCAGATAGAAGAGATAGGGAACACTCAACACACACACACAAAAAAAAAAAACCACAGGCACACACACACAAAAGCACACACACACACACTATATAACAAAAAACAAATCAGTGAAGTGAAAACCACGTGGATGCACACAAACCTTGAGAATCCTTACACGACCCCATAGAACGCGTTTGAACAATTATTGACGATTTGATTTGACTCATTGAGATTCTTGGGTGATTACTTTCTTTGCATGAACTCATTCCATCCCATCAGCTCAAATGCAACAATGCCACTGCCCGATACTGCCCGCCTGTTCAATATCATCTTGAACCTGCCTCATGTATTCCGACAATGCCTAGCGGGAGCAGATCAGGTCACTTTTCATTAGAGTCTTTGAAGGGTGACACTTATTTAAACGTGGTTTCTTCTTCATACAACATCGCTCGGTACATAGCCTCGCGGTCATCCGGCTTGAATAGTACGCTGGCATTTTCCACAAAAACTCCCGTTATTATATTCATCACCTGAGTCCAGCACGGCTTTGAGACTAGCACGGACCAAACAGACTGCCAAAATGCCTGCATCTCAACTAAGATCCTGACACCCAGCGTGAAGAAAAGGAGGTAAAACGTAAATGCCTTCGCTTGGGACACGCTCACTCGTTGCACGCACACACACACACACGCACACACACACATACACACACACACAAACACTTTAGACATCTTTAGACACTTGCATCAGTGTCATCTTTGATCACCATTTTTCAACGTCTTTTGGTTCGAATGCGCCACTGGGTTCCAAATGCTCGAGATGCTACCGTTGGTTGGGATTCCTTCTTGAACACAAAGTGAGGCGTTTCAATTTTGCTCAATCCATTCTTGCATCTTGAGTTTAGGTTCCTTGCCTCCAGCTTGGGTACTGCAGGAGGGTAATGAGGTTGAAGGCCATACAAAATAGTGAGAACCCACTAGCGCATACTTGAACTTTCAGATAAACATTGATTGGATTTAGATTTGATTTAGTGCCCACACATTCCATGGAAAAAGTATTGACTACCTACTGTACCCTTCAAGTATATTATGGACTTTGTGTCAATGTCAGTTTGTTGAGCCTATCGACATCTGACTGCTCATTGGTTTCAAGCTCAGCGGTTCTTGAAGAGAACATGTACAGTGTAATGTACTGTGATCTGGGAACTGATTTCACGTGCTATGGAGTGACAAGAAACACTTGTTAACAGGGCATTGTATAAGAGATTCTATTGACCTCTGTGACAACTGTGGTCATGACAACTGTTCCCTTTGTTCTTTCTATGATACTGCATGTGGTTTGCCTCTCACATCTTAGACATCTGCATGCTTAACGCCTTCATCAAATCGAACCCTATTCTGAAAAGACACCCAAGGTATCGAAAGGTCACAGTTCATGAAGCGTCTCCGGATTAAATCCAAGCAACGAATGTGCAGTCGAAACCCAAGGGCTCAAGAAGCAAATACCTCACAAAGAATTGACAAACACCTGAAACATTCTGAAACATTCTGAAACATGCGTCGAACATGCCCTTGTGAAACATGCCCGGTGTTCCCTGCTTTCTGTCCCAGCAACACTTCTTCCCAGTCCTTTCCACCGGTACTGGCCATGAGCAGAACATACATAGATGAGCCGAGGTTGTTGAAATAATCCCACTGCATTTGCCACAGCTCATCCGGGTTTGCTGCCCTGGTTGTCAGGTAGGCTGTCATTTGCTGCATGAAGTAGACTGCGAACATGAATATGATGACCGCGAGCATCGATAGCGCCCAAAACAATGAGATGAAAGAACCAACAATCGCCACCAGCATTACCCGGACTTCTTTGAGGAAGCGTAGAACTCGTATAATGCGGAACAGTCTTGTCACTCGCAGCAAACGGAGCATGCCGACTTTGCCGACTGACGCATTTGCATATTCCAGTATCTGGTCTAGGCACGCTAGAAACATCAGGGCTGCGTCCATAAAATTCCACGACCAGTCGTCGTTGACAAAAAAGTACATTCCATGTACCCACAGCCTGATTCCAATCTCCACAGAAAAGAATACCAAGAAGAGGATCTCCACCAGTTGACCTATTTCCAGAAACTTTCCAAGGTTTGCCATTTCAAAATTTGTTTCATAAGCAATGTAAATTGTGTTTGCCACCACTGCCAGCATGACAGAAGCTTCAAAGACTTTGTGATGGATAAGTCTGGCAAGGCAAGAACTTCTCTTCGGCTCGTCCAAATTTCGAATCCAGAACACAAAACTGTGAAGAGCATCACCACAATGGTTAAGAACTCGCATCACACTTTCCAGGCACTTGCATGTGCTCACTCCTCCTCCTCCGACGAGGTCAGATTCTGCACGTAGAAACGCGATTTTTTTTCTCAGCTTGCTAGCTTGAACATTCCCGCTGGAGAATGGTGAATTCTTCCTTGCTTGAGGGCAACTGCTGTCTTGAGGTAGCTTTTCATTTTGTATCATTTTGTCATCAATTTTCAAACATCATATTGCACCATTCACCTTAAGACTGTGGTTTTCTTTGCTTGGAAGAAGACTATTCAAGTCTACAGAAACATTAATGTGTTGACACATAGGAAAATTCATATAAAATAGATAGGCCTGCAGCCAAGCCACGTCAATTCGCTCGCGGCATGTAGTTTTTGTGCTGCACAGTGCAAACCGTTGGCAATCAACGATGGTGACTGTGGTTTCTGCGGTGACTGTGGTTTCTGCTGTGCAGGTGTCGCCACTGGATGAGCAACTGGATCCTGAAATCCGCGTATTGGTTTCCAATGCACATATTTTTACATAAGGCAACAAAACTAATAAAAGGAGAAAGAAAACAAGACATGGTTCTTGACTTGAGCATTGACTCTGTGGATTGCCCAAGCAGCAGAGAATCTCATGGAACTATGTATATTCTATCAATGTATATATAGTGTCTATGTAAACGTCTATGTAATTTTAAGAATGCCGCTGGCAGCTAACGATTAGAAAATGAAAAATCATTATTTTGCAACAAATAGCGTTTGAAATAGCGTTTTGAAACCCTTAGTGTTTGAAATAGCATTTTGACATAGTCTTTTGAAACAAAGCACTATTGTGTAGCTAATTTTTGCCAGTTCTTGGATCAACTGTTTGCGAAAATGAGTAAACATTAGTCATTAGTGTTTCTTTCTGGGAAGGATACTTGGAAATGCAATCAAAAAGCTGCCTTTCTGTGAATACTAGCTTGAAATGCCAATCTAAGGGCAAACTTTCTGGAATTGCTAGAAGCAAAATAATGCTAAAACAACTATTTAAATCTATTTAAACTATTTGTATGTCCCTCGGTGGTTAACTGCATTGAAAATCTTAAATGTAATATATTGTTTGAAGATGATTGAAGTGCATTCAACGCCATTTATAATTAAACATCATTAAACTATTCTGCTACAGCTACAGTGAACGATATGATGATATGATATGATATTATATGATATTATATGATATGATATATGATATATGATATATGATATATGATATATGATATATGATATATGATATATGATATATGATATGATATGGTTTCATTGAAAAACGCACCTGATCCGAAAGCTGGTCGGATAGTGGCGGCAAGGAAGAAACATCTGGAGGATCCGGCGCATCTAAGACGACCTAAGAAACATCACGTGAGAAACGGGTTTAAATCACATAAACATCACGTTTATCATGTTTATTCGGGTTTGGATCGCGACTTCGCGACTCTATGAATCTTCTCCACAAAGACACGGCAGAAAGTACAACAGGAGGAAGAGCATAGATTGCAATACAAATACTGCAGGCGGAAGCTAAACGAGCAAAAAAAGTCGAGTTGGGACAAGTGAGGAGCCCCCCAAGGTTCCCCAAGTGAGTTGCTGTCTTCCACAAATTTCCGTTTTGGATCTATTTGATCGGAGCTTCTGGTGGGGAAATGTCGGCAAAGGAAACTCCAGGCCTGGCCTCAGGCGAAGGTGGGCTGCAAACACAAGCTTGTATAAAATTAAACGAATAGGATGAATAGGCCTTTGACAGTGACATCATCATTTGACACCATTCCATTTCATTTGATCATTCAACATCATTCAACATGTTTCATCAACATCTTTCAACCCATTTGACCAATTGATATTAATTGTCTTTCAGCATGACACGAAAGGTCAAAGTACCTTTCATCTGCTTTTCTCAGCTCGACACTCGGCTCGAAGATCTTGATGGCAAGGCCTCTATCCGTCGCTCGCCTTGATTTGTGGCATCGCATGGCAACAGTGGCAGCGGTGGCAACTTGCCCCAAATGAGATGTTGAGACACGTTGAGACATATTAAGAGCATTCAAGAGCAAACGCAAAGACACAAACACACGTACAATCTCACACTCGGAAGGTACGCTGCGCAGTCAGAGTACCTGCCAGCCCGCTGCGACCTTCCCAACACTTTTCAATGCCAGCCAACTTTTGCCAAGCTGCCAGAAATGACGGTCAGCTCGTCAGGGCCCTTGCTCTCCGACTTCTGGCTGCTCTTGCCACTGATCTTGTCAGTCATCTTGTTGCTGGTCTTGTGGCTTTTCTTTCCGTCAGGAAAATTTGAGACATTGCTCATCATGCTCATCTTGTTTGTCTCAAGTTTTGCCTCAGGCCTCTCTGACCTTTGGCCGTCCTCAGCACAGCATGTTTAAGCCCAGATGTCTTTTTGTTCGTTGAACATTCCTAGAGCTATCTAGTGCGGCAACCGTCCCTGCTTTCACCTTATTTCATTGCTTTGTGGAGACAGCAGAATCTCTGACAAAGCCAAGAAACAGTGACCTCTGGAAGTATTTGGCATCTGATTTCTTTTCCTGGCGGGACGCCAAACCATTGCCCAATTTAAAAATTTCGACAAAAACGCTTCACGCACTCTCTAAGGCCCCCCTTGGAAATAGTACAAAGATGATGAAGCAAAACATTTGATAGGTCTGCGGCCTTCTGAATCAGAGATGGGGAGTGCTGTGCCCAACTCCGGTATTTCTACCTCAGCACATCTAGAAAACCAATGACAAAGGAAACTGTACTCTGCTATACTGGAGGAAACCAGCCCTGCGAGCACCTCAAAATGTGAGGCCCTTTGAACCGCACATGTTGGTTGTGTTTGGTGCCAAACCATCATGTTCACGGTGAAGCGACTCACATCAATGCAGCTAGGGCAGCTAGGGGACGGTTTCAATCCTCTCCAATTGATGTTCCTTTCCCAACATCTGATCAGCGGTTTCAACTTCAGGGCTTCCTCCGGACACTAGTCGAATGACAGGTCCTTAGTAGCAAAGATGGCAAAGGGCATGGCACATCGCACAAAGTGTTGTGGCCTTTGCAGTTGCCCCAAAAAATTGTGAAACAATCAGATTGAACAAAACTTTTACAACGGTTCCCCAAACAACCAGAAGGACAATTCTCAAAAATCGTCCTTCAGAATTGTGCGAACTTCGCACCCGTTCCCAGAGTGTTGGCGGCAGTAAATGTCACGGCTTTTGTTCGGACCAAAAAAAAGGGAAGCAATCAGATTGAACAGGACCTGTAAACTGTTCTTCAAAAATGCAAACGACATTTTTCAAAAATAGGTCCCTAGGAATGTGCCCCACAAGAAATGGAGAGAATTAACACAGGACCTTCAAAGCTGCTCCCCAAACAAGACAGAAGCAAACGAATCAAGTCCAACCTATGCTCACATGGCAACCCACCTGCGTGAAACAAAGAGGTTAGCTAAAACAGCAGAGCCGACAATGATGGTCAGCTCAAACATATATAAGGCAGCAAAATTAGCCCAGGTCACTGTTGGCTGGATCCGTCGGATCCGTCGGATCCGGGGCTGGCAAAGCATACTGACTTTGTCTGTCAAGGGCAACGCCGGGATGGCCGAGAATCAGCTCGAGCATTCCTCACTGACACGTGCCGAAACCATCTGAAACATGTACAGATTGTGGAAGCGATATTGTTCTAACTTACTATATCTTATTATGCGTTGTCACAAGTAGAACCCGCGCAATGCGGGTGGCGGAAGTTTCATAGGATCCAAAGACAAGGTTTGCCTCTGGGAGATGCAACGGACCCTCACAACCTTTCAACTCTGTTGTGTGAATTCGTCGTCACTTTGCCTCAGTCACTTTGCCTCACCCCTTTTCAATTGTGACCACCTCTTCTCAACTCTTCTCGGACCGTATCAGCTCTTCTCAATTTTCGCAACTCTTTTCAACAGCTCTCAAAGTTGTTTCATCTCTTCCCACCTCTTCTCACCTCCGCTCAACTAATTTCACCTCTTTCTCAGCTCATCTAAACTCTTCTCACCTTCTCAACTCTGGCCAACTCTTCTCACTCTTCTCAACTCTTCTCACCTCCTGTCACAGAGATGCTTACACACAGAGCAAATTTTTACACGGAGAAACATTTACACACAGCAAACTCTTACACAGAGAAGCTCTTACACACAGAAACTTTTACACACCGCAAACTTTTACACACAGCAAACTTTTGCACAGAGGGGCTTTTACACACAGGGAACTTTCACGCAGAGAAACTTTTACACAGAGAAACTTTTACACAGAACAAGTTTTTGCACAGAGAAGCTGCCACACAGGATGCGCCCAAATTGAGAAATATCTGCTGCCAAAGCACCATTCGCAACCTTCATGCAGCCACTACATTTTACAATTTACGGTTCTCAGCTGCAAAAGGCATTAAAAAAAATGCTGCACGCAGCCGCAGCAGCGAGGAACCTGGACGCAGCCATTCCACGGCGATCTGCAGAGACTCAGTTGCAAAACACAAAAAAATCACCCGCAACGGCTACACAAATTGCAGTTCCAAAACTGGATCTCGACGCCCAAGCGGAAAAACGACGATTTTGAAGCACTGTTTTGCTAAATTTCAAAAACCCTAGCCTCTATAGGAAAGAAAAAAAAAACGTTATATATCTGCAGGTACCTGTCATAAGTTTTAAAACACTTAAAACGACTTAAACACAAACGGAAGACAACCGATAAGCTACTTAGCTAATTAGCTACTAAAGTGGAAACGAAAGAGCGTTTCGCCAAAAGATAATTCCACAAAAAAAATATAGTTCCTTTTTTTTCGAAACTATAATTTTGAAATCCTTTTTCAAAAGTGTTTCACCAAAATATAATTCCAAAAAAAAATACAGTTCCTTTTTTTTTCGGAACTATAATTTTGAAATACTTTTTCAAAAGTGTTTCACCAAAAGATAATTCAAAAAAAAATATAGTTCCTTTTTTTCGGAACTATAATGTTGGAATCCTTTTTCAAAAGTGTTTCACCAAAATATAATTCCAAAAAAAATATAGTTCCTTTTTTTTTCGGAACTATAATTTTGGAATCCTTTTTCGAAAGTGTTTCACCAAAATATAATTCCAAAAAAAAAATATAGTTCCTTTTTTTTCGGAACTATAATTTTCGAATCCTTTTTCAAAAGTGTTTCACCAAAATATGATTCCAAAAAAAATATAGTTCCTTTTTTTTCGGAACTATAATGTTGGAATCCTTTTTCAAAAGTGTTTCACCAAAATATAATTCAAAAAAAAATATAGTTCCTTTTTTTTCGGAACTATAATTTTCGAATCCTTTTTCGAAAGTGTTTCACCAAAATATAATTCCAAAAAAACAATATAGTTCCTTTTTTTTCGGAACTATAATTTTGAAATCCTTTTTCAAAAGTGTTTCACCAAAATATAATTCCACAAAAATATAGTTCCTTTTTTTGGAACTATAATTTTGAAATCCTTTTTCAAAAGTGTTTCACCGAAATATAATTCCAAAAAAAATATAGTTCCTTTTTTTCGGAACTATAATTTTGGAATCCCTTTTCAAAAGTGTTTCACCAAAATATAATTCCAAAAAAACATATAGTTCCTTTTTTTCGAAACTATAATGTTGGAATCCTTTTTCAAAAGTGTTTCACCAAAATATAATTCCAAAAAAAAACATATAGTTCCTTCTTTTTCGGAACTATAATTTTGGAATCCTTTATCAAAAGTGTTTCACCAAAATATTATTCCAAAAAAAAATATAGTTCCTTTTTTTCGGAACTATAATTTTGGAATCCTTCTTCAAAAGTGTTTCACCAAAATATAATTCCACAAAAATATAGTTCCTTTTTTTGGAACTATAATTTTGAAATCCTTTTTCAAAAGTGTTTCACCGAAATATAATTCCAAAAAAAAAATATATAGTTCCATTTTCTTTGGAACTATACTTTATAATGCTTTTTTCCAGACATGTTGCTAATACATTGTCACCGTTTTGGGCCCAATTTTGCTGGAAAAAACATTGTTTTGTATTAGCGCGTAAGCACCTTGCTAATACTAAACCAAGTTTTTTTCAGCAAAATTGGTCCCAAAACTGTGACAATGTATTAGCAACATGTCTGGAAAAAAGCATTATAAAAGATAGTTCCAAAAAAAAGGAACTATATATTTTTTTTGGAATTATATTTTGGTGAAACACTTTTGAAAAAGGATTCCACAATTATAGTTCCGAAAAAAAAGGAACTATATTTTTTTTTGAATTATATTTTGGTGAAACACTTTTGAAAAAGGATTCCACAATTATAGTTCCGAAAAAAAAGGAACTATATTTTTTTTGAATTATATTTTGGTGAAACACTTTTGAAAAAGGATTCCAACATTATAGTTCCGAAAAAAAAGGAGCTATATTTTTTTTTGGAATTATCTTTTGGTGAAGCACTTCTGAAAACGGATTCCAAAATTATAGTTCCGAAAAAAAAGGAACTATATTTTTTTTTGGAATTATATTTTGGTGAAACACTTTTGAAAAAGGATTCCAACATTATAGTTCCGAAAAAAAGGAACTATATATTTTTTTGGAATTATATTTTGGTGAAACACTTTTGAAAAAGGATTTCAACATTATAGTTCCGAAAAAAAGGAACTATATTTTTTTTTAGAATTATATTTTGGTGAAACACTTTTGAAAAAGGATTCCAACATGATAGTTCCGAAAAAAAAGGAATTATATTTTTTTTAGAATTATATTTTGGTGAAACACTTTTGAAAAAGGATTCGAAAATTATAGTTCCGAAAAAAAGGAACTATATGTTTTTTTTGGAATTATCTTTTGGCGCTTTTTTTTTGAAAAAGGATTCCAAAATTATAGTTCCGAAAAAAAAGGAACTATATTTTTTTTTTGGAATTATATTTTGGTGAAACACTTTCGAAAAAGGATTCCAAAATTATAGTTCCGAAAAAAAGGAACTATATGTTTTTTTGGAATTATATTTTGGTGAAACACTTTTGATAAAGGATTCCAAAATTATAGTTCCGAAAAAAAAAGGAACTATATTTTTGTTTTGGAATTATATTTTGGTGAAACACTTTTGAAAAAGGATTCCACAATTATAGTTCCGAAAAAAAAAGGAACTATATTTTTTTTTGGAATTATATTTTGGTGAAACACTTTTGAAAAAGGATTTCAAAATTATAGTTCCGAAAAAAAAAGGAACTATATTTTTTTTTGGAATTATATTTTGGTGAAACATTTTTGAAAAAGGATTCCAAAATTATAGTTCCGAAAAAAAAAGGAACTATATTTTTTTTTGGAATTATATTTTGGTGAAACACTTTTGATAAAGGATTCCAAAAATATAGTTCCGAAAAAAAGGAACTATATTTTATTTGGAAGTATATTTTGGTGAAACACGTTTTCGTTTCCACTTTAGTAGCTAATTAGCTAAGTAGCTTATCGGTTGTCACATGTTTCCACTACATGCTGACTCAATAGCTGCAGTGGTTTGCCCGTATAGTAACGGATAGATGTTTCCACTGCATGCTGAATCAATAGCTGCTATCTCAGCCTTCATTGCACACTAACAAGCCTTGGCCAGGAATATAACCCTTTTTTAAAAGTTTCCACCTGGAATTGCGCAATTTAGCACACTGTTTAAAAGGAATTTGAAAAGGAAAATCATCACCACCAAAATGCAAAAAAAATCTGCTGCCAAAGCACCTTTCGCAACTTTCATGCTGCCATTACAATGCGATTTACGACTCTCAGCTGGAAAACACAATAATATTACGCATGCACCCGCAGCAGCGAATCTTGACGCAGCCATTCCACTGCAATCTGCAGAGACTGAGTTGCAAAACACAAAACAATTACGCACAACGGCTACACAAATTGCAGCTCCAAAACCGGATCTCGACGCCCAAGCGGAAAAACGACGATTTTGAAGAACTTTTAAAAAGGAATTTTAAAAGGAAAATCATCAGGTATCATCAGCACCAAAATGAAAAATAAAATTGCTGCCAAAGCATCATTCGCAACTTTCATGCTGCCACTACCATATGATTTACGACTTTCAGCTGCAAAACACAACAATATTACGCACGCACCCACAGCAGCAAGGAACCTTGACGCAGCCATTCCACGGCGATCTGCAGAGACTCAGTTGCAAAACACAAAAGAATTACCCACAACGGCTACGCAAATTGCAGCTCCAAAACGGATCTCGACGCCCAAGCGGGAAAACTTATGACAATGGCCACACATTGGAAATCCAAAAATGTTTTCTTTTTCAATTTATTATCATGTTCATCATCACCCAAAGCATCACAAAATCATCACCTATTTTGTCGAAACCGTATGAGGTTTGTTTTCCATCGTCACGGAATGTTCCCAAAACATGACTTTTAGCTTGCTGCAACAAATCTTGCCAGGGTCGCGAAGATCATGTGGCAGTCGCACCGGCAATGGCGAAAAGAAAATCAAAAGGTGCTTTAGGTTCGAAAATAATTCAACAATTCCATCTAATTCGAAAATAAATTGAAAATTCTCGTTTTTGGGATTCGAAAATAATTCGAAAATAAATTGAAACTGTCTTTTCGGCTCGAAAAAAATCGAAAAATGGAAAACCCGAGGTTTTTTGCAATTTTTGGATTTTGTCAAATTTGATTCAAAAACGAGAAAAACCGACAAGAATCGAAAACAAAAACGACAAAAACAATCGAAAAAAAAAGGAAAAAACGAAAACACATCGAAAATAAATCGAAAAAAAAAAGTTTTTCTGCAGCAATTTCTGGATGTTGCCTAATTTGACGCAATTTGACCATTTTTCCAGCTCCCAAAAAGGGCCGCAGTAGCTCTGGACCGAGGCTCTTCTCCATGTCCGAGGATCCGGGCGACCGTGATCTTTTGGTGAAAATTTCAATGATGATCCACATGAATACACAAAAACAGCTGTCCAAGCAGCCGAAGATTTTGAGATGATTTTGGTGATAGCCAAAATGATGATTTTTTGAAAAAATAAATGTTTTTGTGGGTTCCAGCCTGTGGCTCTTAAATTGAGATGATTTTGAAGCACTTTTGAAAGGAATTTTGAAAGGAAGGAAAATCATTCATCACCACCAAAATTCAAAAAATCTGCTGCCAAAGCACCATTCGCAACTGTCATGTTGTCATTACACTACGATTTGCGACTCTCAGCTGCAAAACACAATAGTATTCCGCTCGCACCCGCAGCAGCGAGAAACCCTGACGCAACCATTCCACTGCGATCTGCAGAGACTGAGTTGCCAAGCACAAAAGACTTGCAACACACTACTGTAGAACACATCGCTTTGATGCACTACTTCCAACGCGCAAAGTGTCTCAACACATGCAAAACACAAGTTCACAGCAGCAACGAAGAAGAAAACAAGTCACCTGGAACCCTCAGTTCCAGTGCGCGCGGATTTCGAGCAAGATTCCACGGCAAAGCGACGACGCCTGTGACCGTGCCGCGCGAGCCTACTTTTCTCCGCAACGGAACCTCCGTGCACCCGGGAAAACACAATGTTTCGTGCAAATCCTAACATTCAAATCGCATCCATGATGTAGCAGTTCCCATGAGATCGGCCAAGAATGACTTGCAAAACACAATACAATCACAAGACACTACTTGGGACGAAGCAACTTTCGAGACACCCTGACGCAGCCATTCCACTAAGATCTGCAAGAGACAGAGTTGCCAGACGCAATAGAATTGCAAGACACTGCTGTAGAACACATCACTGGGATGCACCAGTTCCAATGCACAAAGTGTCTCAACACATGCGAAACACAATTTCACAGCAGCAACAAAGAAGAGAAAAAGTCACCCGGAACCCTCAGTTCCACTGTGCGCGCATTTCGAGCAAGATTCCACGGCAAAGAGACGACGCCCGAGACCGTCGCGCGCGCGAGCCTACTTTTCTCCGCAACGGAACCTCCGTGCACCCAGGAAAACACAATGTTTCGCAAGACACTACTGGAAACCAAGTACCTTTCTGGGCTAGTGAGAATGCGACTTCATGACCTCTTAAGGCACATGCCAACTGGGCACAATGATCTCTGGGTGTTGAGAAAGTGACTTCATGATCTCCCAAGGCACATGCCAACTGGACACAACGATCTCTGGGTATTGAGAAAGTGACTTCATGATCTCCTAATGCCAACTGGACACAACGATCTTGGGGCTAGTGAGAAGGTGACGTCATGATCTCCTAAGGCGCATGCCAACTGGACACAATGATCCCTGGGCTAGTGAGAATGTGACTTCTGATCTCTTAAGGCACATGCCAACTGGACACAATGATCTCTGGGCTAGTGAGAATGTGACTTCATGATCTCCTAAGGCGCATGCCAACTGGACACAATGATCTCTGGGCTAGTGAGAATGTGACTTCATGATCTCTTAAGGCACATGCCAACTGGACACAATGATCTTTGGGCTAGTGAGAATAAACCATCCGTAACTTGGAGTTTCCTCCATGAAACTTCCTTTGATTAGTTATCCCTTGACAACACTCCGTGATGCACATATTGCTGCCAAGTGTCGCTCCTGGGTTTCAAAATGCTGCCACAGGGACTGCGTCAACCTTGTGAAAGGAAAAGGGAATGGCCATGAAATCCATGAACAGCTACTAGTCCTTCCACTCTTCCGCTGGCTTCTGGTAAACTGCTCTGGCATGATGGACCTTTGTAAACCTGTTCCTTTGTGAAGTGAAAATCCGATAAGCCTGAACATTTTTTCCAATACGCGACTCAACAAAAATCAGGTCTACAGTGCCTTGATTTCAACTTCTTCTGATTATACTTGATCATGCTTCCAAGATCTTGATATTGAAGCGAGTGGCTTGGTATTTTGCTTCCGCCATTCTGCCCATGCAACATCTTTCCAATTTGCCTCTTGCTGCATGTCCTGACAAGATTGGCAAAATACATGGAGTTTCCAGCGGTAAGGGCAGAAAAGTGTTAGATTTGTAAAACAAGAGAGTGGCTGCCTTTCTTAGCCACGTAATTTTTCCAGGAACTTTTAGCAACGTATTTTTTTTTAGCCACGAAACAAAACTTAGCTGCGTAAGAGTGTTAACCACGTATTCTCACGTAATGAACCATCATATGTGTTTTCTTTTTTATCTTCTTTTTTTTAAAATATATTTGTTCATATACTTTTCCTTTTTTTATATACTTTTTAAATATACTTTTCCTTTTTTTCTCCTTGAATTTATACTTTTCCTTTTTTTCCTTGAATTTATACTTTTCATCAAATTGTACCGAGAAATCATCATATTGTACCGAAAAATCATCAAATTGTGCCGAGAAAAAACATCAAACCCCGAGAAATCATAATATTGTACCAAGATTGTTTTTTTTTCATTTTTGTTCTTTTTCTTTTTTCCTTTGTTTTATTTGTTTCCTTTTTTTGTCTTTTTTTTTATTTTTTTTTTCCATTTTTCTTTTTTTGTGTTTTCCTTTTTTCTTCTTTTTTTTTCTACTTTTTTTGTTTTCGAGGCTAAGATGTTGACTTTTCGTGGCTAAATCTATTTACGTGGCTTAAAAAAACATTTCAGGGCTAAAGTTTTTTTTTCCGGGGCTAAAAATCGGTCCCACAAGAGAGTCATGCGTCGGCTCCATCTTGTGAGGACAAGGACCTACACATCGCATGACTCGCAGAAACCATCCCCAGCTGCAAACACCAATGCAACAATGCAAAGTTGTACTTGGGATATGGTAATGTTATGGTTAACAAAAGAAATCGAATACAGTCACACTACAGTCATACAGTGAAATAATTTCGAATATATATATATAAATACCACTAATGCCAAGGATCCACAGATTCAGAGGCATCCGCTGCCCATCTCTGAAAGGTGGGGCAAGGTGTTAAGTGAGAGGATTTTGTTGAACGATGTTGAAGGTACAAAAATAGCACTGGCACCATGACATGTGCTGTGGAATGTGCAGCAGGGGGAGACTCTCGAATCTTGTTGAATCTTGTAGTAGGGAACATGTAGCGAAGCTTGGGTACGTGGACATTGCGAATGTAATGTGATGGCTGGCTTCATGGCCTTGCACTGTCTGGTGAATCTTGATTACAGGCAAACAGGTAGAGCCATACTTGTGGGCAGTTCTTGGTACTCAATCAAGACTGACTGCATCAGATCATTTTGGGCTCATGAGACTCAAGCTGTTTTGATAAGTTTATCGGTACCAGTACCTGTACAGTTTTCTCCTCTGATTTCTGGAATGCACAACGGGCAATGTGGACAATGCTGCAGCCTTGCGTGGGAAAATGCCCGGACGTGGGCGGAAGGACTCTTTGGGCAATTGCAACGGCACCTTGCACAGTGCAAACAGGCCTATGAAATGAACATCGCACCCGAACCTATCAGCGTTGCGTCTGCGCAGCCATTCCCAGCAATGATTTAATGCCACTGACTACTCAGATGTGCATGCGTACAACATTGTAGAATCCTCTTTGAAGCGGATACATGAGATGTGCCTGGAGCATTGCAGTGAAAGGGACCCCTCCAGGGTGCCAGCCTGATACAAACCAGAGAGCACACTAAACTGAGTATGGATTGAACGCGACATGACAAATCTCTTGAAAACATGACCGATATCCTGCTATCATGGGGTGCAATGGTCAGAACTATCCTGAATGTACTGTACCAAGTATCATTATGAACTGTGACAATTAATAGTTATATGTATGTATATATAAACGTTATGTATATATATATATATATATATTACATGTGTATATATATATATAATATATATAATATATATATATATATACGTTTTCCTGTTTTGGCCGTCCTTGATACTGGTCTGGGATTCGAACGTTCAACTGGCTGAGCCAAATCTGAAACGACAGCCTAAGGGCTTCAAGCAAACACCTCTAAAAGGGTGGATCCCTGTCAGTCTTGCATTTGCTTCCCCGGCAAGTACTCAAAGCAAACCAATGAATCGCTCGCGACATGTGGAAGGAGCATGGCAAAACTTCTCTCCCAACATAGAAGCCTTTTGATGTCTATGAGGTTCCAAGATACTCCAAGTACATACGGGATCCAAATTCATTAAAGGCTCCCAGCTTCCCGCATTGGCTATGAGGCGAAAGCCATATATCCGTTGCAGGAGCGGGAGGCCAAGACAGCAGCTGTTCCACCTCCAAGTCTTGCAACGTATGAAGTGTGAGGCATCTCTATGATCATCCTGATCATTTCAGTATCATTTGATTACCATTTCATTATCATGTCATTATCATGTCATTATCATTTCATTATCCTCCATTCCTTTTTCTTGAGTTTTTTTTTGCAAGTCCAAAGAAATATCCACTGAACCTGATTGTACCTGATGAATAATATTGAATACCCCTCCATCCAGTTGCTCACTGAACGACCGAGAAAGAAGTCACCCCACCCAAAGCGTAAGCATAGTCGCTGTCGAAGTCTGAGGGCATGGAGCAGCGTGCCTCTGCGAGCAACCAAGCTCAGAAGGGATCACGAAGGCCAAAGGCCAAAGGCATACCCAAAAACTTCCAGAAACGCATTTGTGCTTTGATGATCTTTGATTGATGTTGATTCTGATTCCAGACACCTCCACTTTCTGCTGTTGTTAACTTGCCCCCCGCATCCTTTGGCATTTGTTTATATATCCTTTACGTGCCACGTCGATCCTCGAGCTAGGTTCGACTTCAAGCTGTCTAAGCGTTTTGAATTCTTTGATTTTTAAAACAAGGACCCCTAAGGTCGAAGCGGAGAAATGACGACACACAAAAACTCTGCGGGTTTCTTCAAAATGGAGCTGGACAGAATACCACAGCTTCAACATGCGCCATGGAGCACGGTGCCTGATATCCAAGGAATTGGCACACAGGGGAGAAGCTTCCTTTGAAGGCTCCCTGGGAGAGGAAGTGTTGTGTAGGAAATTCCGTCAGTCCATGGTGAATGTATCAGAATGAGTCAATGCATCCATACCAGTACCTGTCACAAAATGTTCAACACAGTGTTTCAAGATGTTTCGAAGTGTTTCAAGATGTCTCAAGAGCATTGTGGGTTGCCTTCTTCTTGCGCTGCTTCAACTCGTCCTCGACCTCAACCAATCTTTTATGCTGCAGTGATTAATCCTCTGGTCTGTCGCTGAGTCTGTCTGATGCTGTTAAGAAAGTCCCACAGAGCAATACCAACCAAGCCAGGCGCAATGAACGAACTCAAAACATCGACATTGCGTTGCTGAATAGAAATCAGAGGCGATCTGCCAATGTAAAGGGCTGGGTCATTGGGAGCCAACTTGAATCATAGACATGCTAGAAAAGGTATGAAAAGCACAGGAAAATCGAGCCCACATTAAATGTACATATGTATATATAATATAGTATAATATATTTATAACATATAATATAATATAATATAATGTAATATAATATAATATAATATAAAATAATAAGAATACTATAATATAATAACACAAAATAAAATATAATAAAATGTAATATGATATAATATAATATAATAGAATAGAATATAATATAATAAGAAATATTATAATATAATAACATACAATACAATAAAATAAAATTTAATATAATATAATAAAATTAATAAAATATAACATAATATATAAAAATAACATAATATATTATATAAAAATATCATTTAATTTAACCAAAAAAACATACATATAAAATTCTAAATACAATACAATATAGCATAATATAATATAATATAGCATAATATAAGATAATATAATAGAATCAGAATAGTAATAATAATAAAAATATAATAATACTAAGAATAATTTAAAAAATAACGATAATTATATTATATTGTATAATGTCTCTAGTTTTATTGTGATTATATCATAAATTACCATAGTATATCAAATGCACACTAAGCAATGACTGTCATTCAACCTCTTCTCGCTCTAAGGATGTAACAAGCCAAGCCATGAGGCGCTCTGTCTCCAACTGGGAGAGCTGTAGCGCAGCGTTGCTCTGCCTTCATTCATTCTATCTCAGGATGTATTTTGGATTACTTTGGTATCTTTGGGTCTCGAAGAAATCACATGATTCCACTCACCCTACAAGTAAAAAGTACACCCAGTCAGCCAAAACCAACACATTGAACGGGTATGGAAATGAACCTACTTGCTCACTAACAAATGCTTTGCTCTCCCCCAGCTTCGAGAATTCAAAACAACGTAAATTGCTTGTCCCAAGTACATTCAACGCAATACGCCTTTCCAGCAAAAGCTGCTTCTGAATGAATTCCGGAAGGCTTTGGAACAATGCCGCGGACCTCCAATGGACACGGGCAAGTCCAAATGTTTAGTTGAATGTGCGAGAAGCATACTTTCTGTGTTTCAGCAAGTTGACGGGCGGCCACAAAAGGATGAGAGCGTGACCAGGTCGTCAACTCTGGTAGAGCCTTCAAGGCAAGACTAGCCATGACTAGTCAACTAATTGCAAAATATTGCAAACATCCAGCAAACATCCAGCAAACATGGCGGTTCCGTGGTGAAATCTGAAGGATCGCAAGTTCTGTTTCTACGAGTCAGCCTTTTCCACGGTGCTAGGCATGGGCACCCCCTGACAGGGATGGTAGGAGCTTACAGGCGTTCTCTGTTTGCCATGATTAGGACCGTTTTGGATTGTTGCATTCTTTATCAACATATTTCTTTCATTTGCTTTCCAACTTCTTGTGGTGATGTGGTCTCAAGTTGGTCTCAGCCCAGTCTCATAAATTCAGGTCTTTTGCAAGGTAATTTCCAGATGTTCCAAGTCGTTTTTGTGCACTTGTTATTATGCCTTCAACATGCTTCAACTTGATTTTCTTGAAGCCCTTTATTGCTGGTTGTTGGATTCAAGTTTTCCATGGTATCAAGCCTCCAGCTCTTTAATCAAAGTACGGAACTCGGGAATTGCTGCCTCAAAGGCACGGACAATTCTGGTTGCCTTGCTTGCCTTGAACTTAGTCATTCTTTAATGACTTAAACACATTCGGTCAAAGAAAAAAGTCTCAAAGGGTGCGGAGATCGTCCGAGTTCTGGACTAGCAAACCCTCTGCAACTAGAATCGTGCCTGTCATACTGCACAGGAAATGGTTCTTGGAATGGATAGAGCACAGTGACTACAAACATGGACATCTCTCTCAGGGGTTCAGAGCTCATACTCTCTCCCAAATCCAATTGAGAGCAAGACCAAAATTCTTACCATCATCTGCCCGATCTGAAATCACCTGGACAGTAACTCTGGGATACTTTGGGAATATCTCAACGAAACATAACAAAACATGAGAAAACAATCAGGAAGAATTCGCAACGCATTTTGGGGTCCACTCAAGGTCTGTGACTTGGGGACTGCGAACTCAGGATCCGTCATCTGCGATGCCGCTGACAATTTCCCGCAAATTGTTGCGGTGATCATCCACCTGGTACATGTGCATAGCGCATCATAGCGCATCATTGCGCATCATTGCGCATCATTGCGCATCATTGCGCAGCATTCCCATCTGTCAAGCTGGTCAGCTATTGAGGTTTCTTGAGTTTCCGTCGCGGCTTGTGGCCATTCTTTTCGGCCGGTTTGCTTTTCACTGTGTTTTGCAATGTTTTGCAACAGCAGCTACTTGATCCTACTTGAAGATTTCGAAGCCACCTCTTCTGTGAGTAGAAGGAGATTTGGCTTGGTCTCCAGTGCCACTTCCAAGGCAACGTGGGACGTCGGCACTTTGCCTGAAATTACTTCCAAGAAATGGACAGCGCATGGAAGCACGAACGGCGAAACGACAGAAGTCCTTTTCCATTTGGTGTTTTTGGCATGTCTTGGCATCTTTGTGGTAGTATATAGTTAGCCCTGGACATGATTCGATGTCAGATGGCTGGAGTTGCCGCAACAGTTGTGTGGTGTGCACTGTCACCGAGTTGCTGTGACTTGTCTGGAGGTCCACGTCAAAACATATCAAAACATTGAGGCAGCGAAAGTGCAAGGTTGTTCTCCCACTCTTGAGTGCAACTTTGCGAACACGTTCAAGTAAAGAAGGTATATTTGACCCACATATCTTTGTCAGTTTTCACTGGCTGAATCCTGACCTCCAGTTGTAGAGCCGTCCATGAGCTTCAGGAAGTAGTAATACTTTCGGGCACTGGATCCTCAAATTCAGGAAACCACATCAACATGGCCAACGCCTCCCTGTTCTCCCTGATTGTTGCCATCCAAACATGATATCAACGTACAATATCACACAATATCTAATGTTAAAGCATATTAAGCACAGAACTCGGTTGAATTGCTCAGCAGAATTTGTGAGTTGAATAAAACATGAAGAATTCGAATTTACATCGGGCTGAGCTTGACACCATCGATTGCAGTGTTCCCAACCTCCAATGTACACAGCTCGGTCATGACGGCTTAGTTCAAAAGCTCTTTTCCATACACTCAAGAGATCTCAAGAGTAGGTAAGGGGACAGCGCCTCCAATAGAAACAGCCTCTTATGCACGGAGTATCACTAAACCACTTCAAACCACGGGCTGTTGTGAAGGCTGTTGGGAGATGTCTTGAGTATCCATTCGAACCAAGTTATGATATCGATGGATATGGATTGATATGATCTCTGGACTAGTCTCAGGACTTGGCGAGTTGGGCCATGGCTTTTGCGTTGGAATCAAAACCCAGCGACCTTGCAGCAGGTATCTCAAGCTGCTGCATGAACATTGTGAACATATGGCTAGCCGGCCAGCCATAATATGAAAATGAGAGATGACACGTCGCATGGTTCTGGCAAAGATCTGACCGAGATGGCGAACCATCCAAACCAGTGTCTTAGGCCCTGGCGCTTCCACAAACTCATTGACCATGCTCCCTTCAATGCCACAGGGCACGCCGACAACGGCGGTTTTCACCTTTCATCTGAGACACGCGGTAAAAAAATGTAACAAGTTGTAACAAGTTCAACTCTCAGAGAAAATGGTGGATATTTCCTGGGTCTCAGCCGTCTCACTATTTTAAGATACTTGAGGAACAAAAAGAACCTGCCAGTACTGGCATCTGCGAGCCTTGTACGCTACAATCAATGGGAATTTCAGAATCCCCAAGTGGAGGTACCGTAGCACATAAGGCCATATTTGTGGGATAACTTATATAGGCCTTATATATGGTGGATACCGTCAATTTAGGTAGCTGAAATGGCCATCGACTACTAGTTGACCATATGAAATTCCATTTGACCGATGATGACCAATGTATATCATGGTGTTGAAATTTTTGTTCAGCCGCACTGTACTTCTACAGTTTTTGTGCTTCAGGTACTCAAACTCGCAAGGTCTTTGGTTGACCTTCGGCTAGGAGGCCTTGTTCTGCTTAAAGTACTCTGCCAGATAAGCTGCATCCGTGTTTGTGCCTGAGATCGAGAGTTGCACAAACGCATGTACATCGGTTGCACCTTCACTTTGCAAGGAGAATATGAGTCTTCCGAGCACCGGGTTTAGGTTTGCACAATTTTGCAAACATGAGTCGTTGCTTTTTGAAAACCGCTGACATCCAGGGGGCCCAGGAATTACAAGTCACGAATCGGCGTTAGCTTGAAATTTTACACAAAGACGACTATAGTATACATCCCACTCTGTATTAAGTAAAAAGGGTGGGCGTCATGATTCTATACAGGTCCAGGGGGGCTAGAAGTAGAACATCTATAGAATGGAACCCCATCTTTGTAGAATGGGACCTCCGAGGGCCTCACAAACAGAGACATGTCTATAAAATGGAGGAACCGGTGTTTTGCTTGAAAAGTGTTTAATTTCAGGTTTTCCACCTTTTTTTTGCCTGTAGAATTGTGCACAGAGAAGTTGTAAAATTATGTGAAAAACATTGGTTTTTGTGGGCTCTGAGAATACCATTCTAGAGATTTTCTTAATATTCCGGTCGACCTTGAAACTTTCAAAGTTCCATTCTATATTTTTTTGGGGGTTCGTTCAACAACACCAATCACCTCTTTGCCAGTGCCTATGGGTCCCATTCTATAGTGATTGGGGGTCGTTCAACAGCACCGACCCACTACACCCTTCTCCCGTGCCATGGGGGGCCATTCTATAGGTGTTTGCAAACTATTGCTAGGAAACATGGGGAGCCTAAACTGCAGCACTACCGCTTTTCAGAGATGTTCCCAGCTGCAGGCCAGAAACCTCCGAAAACAAAATGTTTCGGAAGCTTCCCGTCGCTGTTTTGACGTGCCTCATGCTGCATTCTGACGTGCAAATTTGCAACAGGATCCTGTGCCATTTTATAGAGGGCCAATCTTTGTTTCTACCCGTGTAATCCCATTTTATGGAAGGCCAACCTTTGTTTCCACCTGTGTAGTGCCATTTTATAGACAGCCATGTTGTAGAAGTTGTTGAGGATGAAGTCCGTCTTGACAAAGCCAGGGAAATCACCCATGAAGAGGCGGCAGAACCGCTAGATAGTTCCATGGATTGGCATCAGGTCCAACAAGCAGCAAGAATTTTGTCACAGACAGTCTCAAAGACCTGCAAAATTTGTTGATCAGGTAAAGAATTATTACCTAGAGGCCACCCAAGTCTAGATTGCAGGGGGCAATCAGGCTTACGGGGCGGAAAGGGCATCAGCTGATCTCGTGCTGGACACGATCACAGACAGTGATCTTGCGTGCGGTGCTCATGATTGAATAGAGGGCAATGTGTAGTTGCCCGTTGCACATATTTGGCTCGGCTTGGAAACTTCTTGGAAGCAAATGCATTGTCACGGGATTGGATGAAAAAAGACCATAGGAGAAACAAAAAAACCAGTCATGATATTTCTTGCAGAAACTTGGACATAACGACGTGCCTCATTACATCTCGCAGTGGAATATTGAACATCTTGGCATAGCAAAGCATCACGGCGCTCTGAAGATTGCCATGCATTGAAAAGTTAACAGCCAACTCTCACGAATAAAATGTTCTAAACTTGCTTGATTTTCTGGGTAACTAGTGCCTACGCGGTGGGTGTAAGGAGAATTTCAAAGAAAGTTGGTCATGTTCGAAAACCCAACTTCACCAAGCATTTTTAAGGGGGACCTTTCGAAGTCCAAGGCATAGGCGATTGCGCACATCTTTGAATGGTGCGATCGGCTGCTCTTATTTAATCCAATCCAGTCATTAGCCATGCATCAGCTGTGTGGCCTCTGCAAAGTTTACGCTAGTCTGGGCTGCCAGATTTGCTCTCTGCAGCCATTCGGGGGTAAATGCCGTGTAATTAATCAAAAGTTGGAATGTTTGGTCTGCGTACAGCCCAACCATAGCGGGCCTGCGCCCCTGATGTTATGGCAGCAACCTGCAATTTACGCATAGGTTCAAGAGGCAAGAAGGAGCAGGGTTTAGCCGTGGCAATGGCTTTCTGCACTCTCTTATTTGCTTCCTGTCCCAATTTACGAACTTGGGCCCCACAGAGTGCTGCCCCAAGGAGGACAGGCTGATCAGTGACACTTTTTTACGACCTCTAGCATTGACATGGAAAAACTCTTTTTCCCATGCTTTTTTTCAATCCAAGCAACTGTGACCACTCATCCCAACCATCCAAGACCTTAGTGAGTGAGCTAATGTCGGGACTTGTGATCGTTCGGTCAGCAACATAAACAGTTTGACGTGTTTGAGAAAAGATTTCCTTCATGTGAAGAGTGGGTGCTAACAAGCAAGCATTCAGGGCTATCATGCTCCAAGGGTCTCCCTGCAACAAAGCTGTGGGAACGGTGACCGGGTCAGCACTGGTTTGACCTATGAACTGAAAAGTCTTCGCTGGTTGCATCACATGCTTGTCATTAATCCGACGATATTTTCGGGCATACCCCAGTTGGCGAAAGGCATGCAAAGCCAGATGCGGGTTAGTACGGTCGAAAGCCAGACTATAAGCAAGACTTGCAAGATCTTGACCAGCATCAGTATCATTGAGTGTATCATGCAAAGCTGTGTAGCAACCTCATTGTCTAACGCCTGAATGGATTCTTGCAGGCGTTGAACTGCGGAGTCGTGCTTGATCCGGTTAGAAGCCCGCAATCTCCAAAAGACAGAAGTTACACTAATGGGTCTTAAGGCAGAAATATCACAGGCATTGGCATTAGAACGGAAGCCTTTAGGCTTAGGCAGGTGCACTTGACACCATGTACGAGGACAGCACGCTGCCTGTTCCATGTGTTGGTAGAAAATCGTCAGCGGACAGCTCTGTTCCGGACCATCCATCAAGTCCAGCTGAACTGCTGGACAATTTCTGGACATTCTTAATGAGATCAGCTATTTCAAGCTGAGGCCATGTCCTCGGAGAACAATGCAGTGAGTATGTAGCCTCGCCCCAAGCAGCAGTAGTTGGTTTGTTCATCCAAGTCATGTCCTTTCCAAACATCAACCCAAAAGGATTTCAGCATTTGGAAAGCTTGCGTGACGTTGGTTGTGACTGAGTCAGGCTGGTCAGAGTGAAAAAGATTCATAGTCATAGGACTAGATGTCTTTGCAACCCGTTTAAATTGTGCTGATTGATTATTTCTCATGCGTTCTCTCCATGCTTGGAGAGCTTTGTCTTTCCTTTCCGAAACAAGAAAAAGTTCTCTCTGGCAAAGGTCCTTTCTCCATAGCTCAAGAGTGCGACCACATTGAGGAAAATTTCGGTCAACTTTACTATGCAGAAGCTTTGCATGATTAGTCCATCCAGTGGCATCGACACATCGTTGCAGCTCATAGGATCTTTCAAACGCATTATGCGATTGATGCACCTCAGTGTGGCCAGGGGTTTGACACGACTGACGTGATGTCTGTTTTTCGCAAACCGAAACTGGTGATTTTTTCGGGCGTTTACCGGCAGTCACATTAGTTGGTAGATTACTGCTGGTATCAGGCTGGCAAATCAAGTGCGCGACTTTGAAAGTGTCTTCGAAAACAAAATCTAAGGCATTCCGGTTCAAATCGACACTGGTCTGGTTGCAGTCGAAGTGATCTGGCGGTTGAAAATTTTGAACTTTCCAGGCAATGTCTACGGCTGCACGCCATGTATTTTCACGTGTTTGGGTGGCTTATAGAAATTAACCTTTCTCAAAACGGCGGGGGAGTCATCATTATCTAAAGCAAGCTTATGTGCACTAACCAAGCATAGCAGTGGTATGTGGTCACCATATGAAATGCAAGACAAGTTGGTAATGGCATAGTCCAAAGCTCTTTTACCTTTCCAACGAGTGGGTTGAAACTCGCCAGGATTTGTCGAGACAGCAAGCAACCACCCATGCGTTGGAGACACGGCTTCAATCATTGGATTATCTTGAGACTCCAGATTCAAATTCCAATGCAGAACCATTGAGGATGTGTTTCGATTCTGCACTTCTTGATCGAATAGCTCTTCCAAACAGGCATCAGCGTTCGCTGCGGGTCTCAAGTAAACATTATACAAAGGAGAAATCCAGCTATGCGTACAATGAATTAAGAACTGACCATCTGACGAGCAAAAGGTGACTTCAACTTTGTGAGAAATTAACTTTGACACCCGTGTAATCACTCCTCCCATTTTGCCATGGAGTGTTCCATCGTGCAACGGAAGTTTGGCCGGGTTGCCAATGAACCAAATAGCCTTTTTTCTTTGCCTTGTGTTGGAACGCATCAACATCTGGTTGAGACATACGGCACTCTTGTAGAGTGATCGCTGGAAACTTATTAGGCGTTATATCATCAAGGACTCTCCAAGCATTGGAGGTTGATTGTACATTCATGTTGAGTATAGTAAATTCAGTCAAATTGCGGTTCTTTCTTCGAGGGCCAGGATTGGGATGAATATCCCCATGTTGACAGAGATCTGGTACCCAGCATTTCAAAGAGCTTTTCAGGCACATGCGACAAACAGGGGTTAGTCAATTTTTGGCTGCATACTTGAAGACAGCATCTGCATGTTCAATTGTTGTATTCCAGGCTTTGAGGAAGGCATCAACAGTACTGGATTTGCTGCCACGCAACCTTTTCCACCAGGTTCTGCGAGCACAATGATCTCCTGGAGTCGGTTTGCCACCACTTCTTTAAAATGCAACCGTTGTGTTGCTGTCAACCAACATCTGCGACAAGTGGGAAGGCGAGCACCAGGTTTTAATTTGTGCTTCATTACTGTGCAATTAGGCGTGATGAAAACGTCTTGGTGACCTTTCTTTTCATCACGTTTGGCAGCAGCCTTTTCAGTATTGAGCTTGCGTAGAATGATCTTGCCAGCTTTCCATGCAGGTTGAGCTGTACAATCTTTGCTATACATCTTGGACCTCGCAGTGCCAGAATCTTTGAGAGTCTTCTTTTTAGTGCGTTTGTGTTTGATGGCACAATGATACCTCACACTTTTTTTCCTGCTGATACTTGCCTAATTCTGGCAGTGCATCATGGCTTAATGGGCAAACCCATGCACGTTGTTCATGCGGCAGCTGATTGCTAGCAATAATAACCACAGGAACCACTTTACGGACCCAAGTGGTTGGGCCTTCCTGGCCCGGATGTCTCTTGAGGTGATGAGACCGCTTCCAAGAGAGTTGTGCTGATGATTCAGCAGTAATTAATTTTCATCTGGCAATGTGGACAAGTCCACAGGTGCTTGGGGTCACCATACACAAAACAAAAACTGTTTTGTCGATTTATCAATGACCTGTCCAGGTCGGATCCATGAAGTGTCTGAAGAATTGTCTTGCATCTGATTTTTGGCTTTCTGTCGGCTTGTGGCAGCTGACTTCACTGAAGGAGCTGCGGCATCTTTCTGTTCGGATTTTTAGGCTGATTTTGAGCTACGTATGTTTGGATAACGCGCTGCCTGGTTTCATCCAACTGCAGGTCGATTCAGCCTTCTCTGATTTGTGCGAGCTGCTTTTGCCTGATCCACGTGGGAAGTTTCCTTTGGCTGTTGCTTTTTTCCACCCTTCAGGAGCAGGTGTCATAGGATCAAGTGTAACACAATGGTCATCATCGAGCAAAAGAACGATCGGATCTCTGAGGGTTCCTTCCTCAGCCTGCAATCGCGTGATCATTCGCCATCTTGCATTTTCTCTCTTTCCCCACGTGATAATATCGTTCTGAGTTCTGAGTTGCAAATGCAATTGCTTGAGCAATACGGCCATCAATCCAACGTCCTTGCCGGTTGAGAGATGCCAGGTATTCACCTGGTGAGGCTGGGATATTTCCATCTTCCATTGCGGCATTTGTCATAGGGTCAAAGGCCCAAGTTTCGCACCGTTCAGTATGCTCTTTGAGCCAGCTGATTCCTTTTGCTTTCATGCTCTTGGCCATGGTTGCGATATTCTCTTCAATGTGCTCTTTCGATTTGCCAGCCCGAGCTGCTAGTACGGCAGCCATTGCTCTAAAGGCACGATCTCCTTGGCCATGAAGGTCCCAAATCACTGTGTCATTGGGTCCTTTCTTCTCTTTCGCTTTTTGTTTCTTGGAAACTGGTTTGGCAGGTGAGTGCGCAGGGTCAGCTTTGGTTGGGGTAGCCGGCTTGCTTCTTTTCACAGGCTGTTGTCCATCTGAAGCGTCATCGGGCATTTCACTATTCTCATTGGTCTGTGAAGCAGGGTCAAGAATAGTGGCAGGAATTTCTCGAGCTTTGGCATCGTTCGTAGGGGCATGTAGCCAGCGGTTGAATCCTTTCATTTTCTGTTCAGTGTATTGTGGGCGCCCTCGTGCCCATCTGGCAATCGTGACAGTTGTGTCATCTAAGGCACATATCCGCAGGCTTGTAGATATGTGTCCATTTGGCGGTTTGGCTGCAAACGTCCAGCGTCCTCTTGCAGTTTGAGATGCAATCACATATTGAACATTGGTCCATTTGCCCTGTTCCAACAATGTCTTGAGTGTTCCAGGTTGCCATGACTGAGGGATTCCAGCAGCGGACCACTTGTAGACATCTTTGATGTTATTGGCATCTCCTCGGAGACCAGGCTGCCATCTTGTGATCTATTTTCATGAAATCTATTTTGGGCTTGCGTGTTTTCCTTGACACCTTAGTCCAACCTTCATCACGCAAGGTTGTCTGCGGCGATGGTCGTGCAGTTTCACGTCGCTGAGCAGCTTTACACTCTGAAAGAAGTTTTGTAAGGCCTTCCAAGAGCATCTGTTCTGAGCCTTTTGGATCAGTGGCTTTAGGGCCACCAGCCATGCCCCCCAAAAAACCATGCCATTTTTCCATCAACATTTGGCGTTGATTTGGCTGTGTCTGGTTCATCAAAACCACTTGGCAGATCGGCATTGATTTTTGAATCTTTCGGTGCAATTCCACAGATCAAAACTCCAAACAGTTTGCATACTGAGGGAAATCTACGGCAAAACTTGCGGCAAAATTGAGGGAAACGTGCGATCCAAGTGTTTGGTTTTTCCGGTCTCTCACTGCATATCGACGATGCCCAACCCATTTTGCAGGCATGACTTGCTTTCGACCTCTCTTCGTGCCGCTGCCACGGCCCGCGTTGACCAAGGACTTGCAGATGCTCATAGCGCCATTGAACATCTTGCCCAGGGGGTAGCGATCGAGAACAATGCTTTTTCCGTCTGCGCGCCAAGCCTATAGAATGGCATTCATAACCAAATTACTTCAGGGTGCTTGTAAGCATGGCCACCCAAGCCCTGTCCCCATGCTTCATTTTGAAGGCTTTGGCGCCTCACTCACCTCACCTGGACTCTTCCCAACCCATTCTTTGGAAGCATGGGCAGCTTAAACTGCAGCACTACCGCTTTTCTGAGGCGTTTCCAGCTGCAGGCCGGAAACCTCCGAAAACAAAATGTTTCGGAAGCTTCCCGTCGCTGTTTTGACATGCCTCATGCTAAAAGCAAACTGCCAACAGGATCCTGTGTAATGAACCATTGAGTTCTATAAAATGGAACTTCGCCTTTTTTGGAAAAACACAACTGGTGTCTATAGAATGGGAAATCGGAATTCTGAGGTGATCGCTGTTGATAACCCTGAATCTCTATAGAATGGAAACTCCAGCTTCCCTCAGACGAGGTCAAATAGCGACCAGTACTCCTCTATAGAATGCAAGATTCAAACATTGAAAACTCACAAACCCCAGATCTCTATAGAATCGTGGGGCCCAGGGTCATCATTTCCTAAGAGGAAACTCAAGGGGGATGACTATACTATACTTAATAAGTGACTATTCAGTCAGCGCATTCCTGAAAGCAATTACAAAATATTGCAAATAACAGCAATATAATATATCATAATATATATCAACATATGACATGAAACGAGGACAAGGTGAGGTCCGTACGAGCACCGCCCACCAGCACCAGGCCGTCCAGGTCAAACTCCTCCGAGCATCTCGCAGTTGAACTCAATGAACAACTGAAATGGCACTGCGTCATGTCCCGACTCATTGAGCCTTTTCAGTGCCATTTCAGGGGCGGGGTCAGAGTCAGTGGGGGGGTGATTGACTCAGGTATACTCAGGTGGTCTGAGTCTGCTCGTGGGTGATTGATTCCGTCTGCTCTCGCCATTTCTCTGTGCTTAGTGGTTATGGCCGCGACCTGAGAGACTGTAAATCCAATCCACAAGCTCTTCATAGCACTTGAAACTTGCTGGCATATGTATGCCTGGAAGGTAAGCTATGAACCGGAAAAACAGCTCTCCCACCAAGCAACATGGAGGTGTGCAAACACATGTACAAAACGGTAAAGGAATGTAAAAAAGGTGCTGAGGCCAGGTATATGGAATCAAAAGCAGGCAGAATATGACGACCCAAATCAACCGAGCCAAGCCAAGTCCTGGCAAGTGATCTTGGCCTTCTCGGATTCATCCTGCAGTGAACAAGTGAACATGCAGACTGTGGTGAGGATATCTCAGGAGTCTTCTCAGAGTCATTCACAAATTAAACTTCCTCTCTCTCTCTCTCTCTGTGTCTCTGAATTCTCTCATGGTCTCTCCCTGGACTCCAGGACTTCCCCATCCTTGGTGTTGATTCGATCAACAGTTCGTCCAAGCCTCGGTCAATTCAATGGTCTGGCAAAGGAGAAGTCTATTGCAGGTAATGCTCGGCAACTGGATCAACTGAAAGCTACCTCCGTGTGCTTAAACCGATCTTGCTTGGCATGCACGTCTGGCAATGTGCTCTTGAGGGCCCTTGCATGTCCAAACCGCCTCGAAGGCTGCTTCATGAAACAATGTAACAGTAATATAACATGAGGTTTCGAGAAATGTTCCAAGGCCATTGCACACTTTGGTCGGAGCACTGTCCAAACAAAGTTCAACAAATGCACTATCAATGCAGTAGTTTTGACGCTTCGGTGTTTCCGCTGGGCTGTGCCTGTGCCACGAAAAGCGTCGCAAATCTCTGACGTGAGCTCAACGGCCTGCAAATGGCTTGCAGGTTTGAATATCACGACTTCGTGAGCGCTGCCAAATTGATTCTTCTTGACTGATTTTTTGCTCTTCAGCACTCTGCCCCCCAAAGTCACTGCACCAAGCGCGGCGCCTGCTTGTCCAAGAAGCCCTTAGTGCCACCGACGAAGCCATACAACTTGTTTCCGAAATTCGGTGGCCTCAGAGTGATTGTTCCCATAAACGGAGCTGAACACAAAGATTGGAACAGTTTAGAACAAACCAGATAAAGCAGCTAAATTCAGAGCCAGTTGAAATCCAGTTGTGGTCAAATTCTAAGCCTTCTGCATCATATCCACTAAACCACAAACGAAGTCGTGACATCCTGGTGCCTCACAAAAATACGCTGACCTGTGACCCTAGAATCTTATGTATACTTATGCCAACCTCTATTCTTAGTCATTTCTGGTGCAAAGGTTCTCAGTACAGAGGTGCAAAAATTTCGCAGCACTCCTATGACACTCTTGCTTTACAAAGCAGAATCTCTGGCCTGGCGACCGCAGAAGACGACCCCGATCTTTTTGTCTGCGATTGGTTCGCCGCGTTCCTGCTCACAAGGGATCAAGAAAGATTGGCAATCCAGATCAATCCAGACAATCAATGAGCCAAAACGAAACAAAAACAGAAGCCAAGGACGCCCTGACCGTTTGCAAAGGGAAAACAACTCCTGCCTCTGTGGGTACAATGTTCAAAAGAGGTGCATGAACTTCGGAGAAGTACCTTGAGACCACCTGCCAAAGCTTACAGTAAGTGCTCAATGAGGACGTGCAGAGGAGCATAAACCATAATTCAAAGATTTCAAAACAATATCAAAACCATCACCGATGAATCATGTCGCAAGAGCACCTTTGCCAGGATATGCAAAATTCCAATTATAGTAGCCTCTGTGTGAGCGTTTACGCATGTCTCTTCTCCTCGTTCTACCTCGGAAGCACCGAATATTGCAATCAAATTGACGCGGCTCTAAACTTGACTATTGCACTCAAACTGGTTTACATGCACATAATTGCACATACATGAAATCATACATGTCAAATGTACATTTACGTACAACAGTGATCAGCAGTGAACTCAAAGTAGGCCCTCTGCAGTCACAGCGTTCCCATTGAATGCACTGATGGCTTCTGGCAACCGATGCCTTCGATCCTGGCCAAGCTGTGTGGAGGAATGAGTACAGCTAGCAGTGAGGAGAGGAGTGAAAACGAACCTGTTCTCGGACGACAGGGGCTGTACCAAACAATCATCATATTTCATCATATTTCATCATATTTCATCATATTTCTGGATACTGGTCAAGGGCTCAAAAAGTAATGCTCCGGTTATTTTGCCCTACTCCCTATCTATTAGTGTTTTTAGATATGAGAAAGGCTTCGTTGTGCGCAAAAAACATGCAGTGGGGACCATTCTCCATTTCTGCAGCTCGGAACGCATCTTCTTCCTAGCAGCTTCGACGTGTATGTCTCTACGTACAGGGCTGGTGAAGACGTGTGTGACACGTTGCCAGGCTTGGTAGAATGCTACGATGTGTGTTCTTTCACCCTCAAACTCGACCTTCGTTTGATTGAGGTATGTAGTCTATATGAGTAAACATTGCGGCTTGGCTGTGATTGCAACTAGGGCACGCTTGTGGCAAGAAGAGGAAGTTTCCCATCCTGGCAAGCATCGGAGATGTTTCTGCTTTCATTTCATTGATGATGGAATATAAGTTGGAAATACTTGCCACAACATCTCACGCTGTTAGTATGCTCTGCCTCTTTGGCTTCTCTTGAGGAACCTGCACCTCCCAGCTCCTGGCACTCGGTTACATCCAAGAGGCCGCAGTTTCCAGACTTTCCAGACGTTCCATCAATTTGATCCAATTTTCCCATGCTGTCTTCCAGGTCTTCCAGGTCTTCCATCAAATACCATGTAACACAATAAGATATAATAAGTTTGACAATAAGATATAAGTCATAACATGTCATAACGAATCATAATGATGCCGTGTGATGCCACTATTTTCATCTTGACACATACAGCAAAGCAATGCAAAGCATGCGCATCCTTCCCAACTCCAGTTGCAGGGTCATCGGAATGTCCTTTATCAAGGGACAGAAGAATGCGTGAAAACCAACTGTTGCAGATTGTTGCAGGTCGTTGCAGGTTGTTGCAGCTTTGCAGATCCCAACTTGGCCTACCATGTTCAAATTATGAAATCCGCCGACCCCTGCCGACAGCAGGGGGAGCGCGTCAGAGGAGGAATTACCAGCAGCAAGGGCCAAGAAGTCATTACAAGCAGCAAGGGCAAGAAGCAAGAAAACATGAAAGAAGAAGCAAGAAGCAAGAAGCAATTACAGGCAACAAGCGGCAAGAAGCAAGAAACAAGAAGCCAGGAAGCAACAAGCGGCTGGAAGACAGGTCAGAGAAGTCATTACAAACAGCAAGGGCAAGAAGCAAGAAAACAAGAAAGAAGAAGCAAGAAGCAAGAAGCAATTACAGGCAACAAGCGGCAAGAAGCAAGAAACAAGAAGCCAGGAAGCAACAAGCGGCTGGAAGACAGGTCAGAGAAGCAAGAAACAAGAAGCCAGGAAGCAACAAGCGGCTGGAAGACAGGTCAGAGAGCTAGTTTTCTTGTCGATTCAGAAAGCAACGGTAGGCAGGCGGCTGGAAGACAGGTCAGAGAGCTAGTTTTCTTGTCGAGTCAGAAAGCAACGTTAGGCAGGCGGCTGGAAGACAGCTCAGAGAGCTAGTTTTCTTGTAGGTTGAGAAAGCAACGTTAGGCACTGGGGGCTGTTGCCCGGAGGCTCGGTCCGTCCTTCAGGGCCCTGCTGTTTTGCTGTGGCGAGGGCGCCGTTTGTGAGCCTTGACGGCTGGAAGAGAGCTAGTTTTCTTGTCGGTTCAGAAAGCAACGTTAGGCAGTGGGAGCCGTTGCCCGGAGGCTCGGTCCGTCTTTCAGGGCCCTGCTGTTTGGGCGTGGCGGAAGCGCCGTTTGTGAGCCTTGACGGCTGGAAGAGAGCTAGTTTTGGAGCCGTTGCCCGGAGGCTCGGTCCGTCCTTCAGGGCGCTGCTGTTTTGCTGTGGCGAGGGCGCCGTTTGTGAGCCTTGACGGCTGGAACAGAGCTAGTTTTCTTGTCGGTTCAGAAAGCAACGTTAGGCACTGGGAGCCGTTGCCCGGAGGCTCGGTCCGTCCTTCAGGGCCCTGCTGTTTGGGCGTGGCGGGGGCGCCGTTTGTGAGCCTTGACGGCTGGAAGAGAGCTAG